GGGCCCCTTTTCCCCCTTCCCACGTGCTAAGCACCAAGAGTCCCCCCAGGCCAGCCAGGGCCCTGGCAAGGGGCAAAACCTCCATGGGGTGCCGAGGGGGCAGGGGCCAGTGTCCCGCACCAGGCATTAAGCTTTTAATCTTAACTCCACACATTACTGATGAGCTCATCAACAAAAATCTAATTATTATGTGCGAGGCCAAGCTTAATTGCTTGTCCTTGACATGAATAATGCACCACATAAGCCTATTACCCAGTGTAAGCCTATTATTATTATTATCGCACTCCCTGTCAAAAGTATAAAAGTAAAACAGTCGAACAGGGGGGGAAAAATAATGTTATGCAATTAGCAGCAAAATGCCAGACAAATAAGCTCGTTAATTCTCAGAGCGGGCGTGCTCCACCAATCACGGCGGAGCACGTATTTCGGACCGGACAGGGCCCCGCCTGCCTGGACAGGGCTCTGGGTGGGTCCGGCGCTGCCGCGAGCCCCACGCCAGGCTGCGGTCGTCCTGGGCTGAGCAGCACTGCAGGCACGGTGGGGCAGGGGCCTGGCGCTCGCCCGCGCCTCGCACTACACAAATAACAGACTTGGCAAATCCTAGCGTGGTGCGGCTGGAAGGGACCCGTGGGGTCACATCCAGCCCACCCCCTGCCGGGGGCAGCGTCAGCCCTGTCCAAAGCACCCCTAATCTCATGACAGAGGAGGATCTAGCTGCCCTGAGCCTGAGCGAAGGAGCAGTCCCGGGGCCTACAGAGGACCCTTGGCCTGCCTAGCACCACCATGCTCAACCCGCGGCACCCCGGAGCGACTTGAGATCCTTTCGGGGCACCATGCACTGAGCCCTGTGGGGTGGCACACACGATGCCCAGAGATTGCAAGCAGAAAACCATCATGTTATAAGCTTTTCTGGGTTCCCGGCAGCAGCAGACTTGGTCTGGTATTTGTGTGCAATCAAACAAGGAGTGAAAACCAACAGCCGAGGGGGCCTCGAGCCTGAAAAGGTTGAGAGCCGCTGGCCCCGTGTGCTGGGAAGGAGCCAGAAGGCACAGGCAAGTGGTTCAGGGCTGCAGCAGTCCTGAGCAGCGGACGGACAGATGCACCCAGCCAGCCCGGAGGGAGGCCCGGGATACAGCTGCGCCCCCTCCTCCTTCCCTGGGCGCGCAGGGTTGGGGCTGCATGCGGTGGGGGTCGGGGCTCTCTGGCCGCCAGGCTGCAGCCGTGCACGCTTCGCAGCTCCCCGGAGCACAGCAGACCGTGCCAGGGTGACATTCAGGCGTGCAGCTGCTCAGCCTCCCCCAGCACCCCCAGCTGCTGCTCCGCAGGGGTCCGCGGCAGGGCGCCCGGCCGGTGACAGCACGTCAGCCTCTGCGCGCTCCCCCCCGCCGCGAGACGGACAGGCAGGCAGAGCCGGCGCGATGTCGAGGGAAAAGGGAACGGGAAGGACAGCAGCCAGGAGGATGCATGCAGAGGCTCAGGGAAAGGCCCTGGGTTTGGGGAGCCCTGGCAGTCGGTATGTGCCGTGGTTCCCTGCCCTGCACCCAGTGGGAGCACAGCTGGGGGCCTGGAGAGCATGGGCTGGAAGCGCCCGGGTCCGGGCACAAGCCGGAGCCTGGCTGGGGGGTGCAGGAGCCGCCCGGCCGCCCTTGCCCGTGTCCTCCGGTGCCAAAGTGACTTTAATGGAGTTTCGAGCCGGAGCTGAGGCTTCTCCTGGCAGCAGCAGGGCCCGGCTGGCACCGCGCACCCGTCCTCAGGAAGCAAACACTGGCCGGCCTGACCCCCGACCTCTCCCAAATGCTGCCTGGCTCCATCTCGTCAGCCGCTAATTAAATCCCACTAATGAGGAAATCAGGATTCAGGAGCCGGCTGAGCAATGTTCCCTCCTGCACATGCACTCCGCGAGGACTTATCACTAGTCACAGGATGTTTACAATAATTTTTAATTTGTGCAATTATTAATCATTTTTCTATCTGCCTCATTTGCATAATAATTAGTCTGTGCGGTGTTTGCCATGACTGTGAATGACAGTGCTTTAAATTAAATTAAGATTTTAATATTCAGAGTTTTGGTCAAAGCTAATCAAAGTTGCCTCGCGATGCCCAGACCGGGGCTGCTGCCCCTCCGGAAGCCATGATAGAGCGATGGGCTTCCCGGGGCCACCGGAGCCCCGTCCACCCAGCAGCGGTGCCCCCGTCGCTGCAGCCCCAAGAGCTGAAATGCGGCCAGCTCTGGAGCAGAAGGGAACAGCCAAGTGCAACGTGTGCCAAGGGCACCGGACAAACTCCGGGTCCTGCACAAAACCCCATATGGCGCAGCTGTGCCCGGGGTTGCTAAAAGCCTCAGGTCCCCACTGGACGCAGCCTGGAGGTGTTTGATGTCAGCAGCTGTCACAGCACAGCACAGCCCTCAGCTGGATCTCAGGGGCGATGAGCATCAACCTGGCTCCTCGGGGAAGGTCCAGGACCCTGGTTTGGGGTTGGGTGGGGGGAGAAGAGGTTCACACTCTGGTTTTTCAAGTCTCTCTCATCCCCTGGGCTCCTGCGAGGAGGCTGCGACCGCCCCTCCTGATGCCCCCCTGCCTCGTCACTGCCCCTTCCAGGGGAGCACGACTGTCCTCGCCCGTGCTATGACCCCCAGGACGCAGCAGCTCCCCGCAGTGAAATTCAAGCACAGCAGGGGCTGGATGCCTGCTCCCAGCTGGCCGCTGCAGCACAAGACAGGCTGCAAAGGACCCCATGCACGCAAGAAGAGGGCCTGCTGGTCCCTGTCCCCAGCCTCACGCTCCTCTCCCCTTAGCTCAGGGCATGGCCCAAGCCCTGACACCGGTGTTTATTGCTGCAGCTTCTCTGGAAGCAGGCAGGGCCCTGGGGGATTATTCCCCCCCTGTCTAAAAGTGACCTTAATCCCCCTCTCCCCCACCCCTGCTCCTGGGCAGGGATCGGCCTGTCCGTGGGGTGTCCAGGGCTGTGGGAGTTGCTTTAAGGGGCATCTCAGACCCCGTCTAGGGGCACGTGCCACCCTGCCTAGCACAGCTCTTGCCATCCTTGGCCCAGCTGCTCTCGCCTCTCTCTGCCGCAGGCCAGCAGTGCCAAGGAGGCAGGCATGAAAGGCAGCATCTTCCCTCCCGGAAAGAAAGCATCCCTGGACCCTGCTCCTGCCAGGGCATGGCCAGAGCCCCGAGCCCCCATAGCTGGTGTCGCAGCACCCTCTGCTGTCGGCCTGCAGCACGAGACGCTGCCCGTGCGTGCTGCTGCCCAGGGCGCGCAAACCCCTTGGAAGGGGAGCAACCGGGCACACGCGCTGGCCCGTGGCCCTGAGCGGGGGCAGCAGAGCTGGGCCGCGGCGCAGAGGCCCTGGGAGCTGCTGCCAGGCTCCTCTCCCACTTGCAGCCATCAGCACTGAAGGTCCAGGCAGGTCTGATGTCCCTTCACTCCCTGCTCAACAGCTCCTGATGCCCCTTCTTCCCTCCTGGCACATGTCTGATCCCTTGGGGAACCTGGCCAAACTCAGCTCCCACCACAGCCGGTGCCACAAGCTCCACCTTTAATGAGACGCTAGGTGGAAAAGAGCTTCCTTGTGCTCCTACTCGCTTCGTGCTGTGGCCCCCAGCACTTGTACCATGAGAAAGTACATGATAAATCCTAATGGGGTCTCGCTTCATCATTTAGTATTTTGCAAACCCTTCTCCTGTCTCCCTTCAAGCATCTGCTTCCTAAACGGGACAGGCCTGGCCCATCCATCTCCAGACTGCTCATCCTTGTTCCCATCTCTGGGCCTTCTCAGCAGAGCCCAGGAAGGAGCACTGCACGCCCCAGATGGGGAATCTCTCCCGGGAGACGGTGCCCGCGCCTGACACGGCCCTATGAGCTATAGGTAAAGCAGCCTCTCTGTCCCTCACCCCAGCAGCTTTCCCACCCCGCCAGCTACAGCATCCCACCCCCAGCATCAAGCCTTTGCAGCCCCCTTCCTGCTGTTATAACTTCCTGCACCTGGCCCCGATGGGCCTGCTAATTGCACAGGTAATTGCCAGCTGGCGCCAGGCTCCTTAAAGGGGGAGACTGCCCTGCTCCAGCCCCTGCCTCACGGCTCACCCCCACTTGGGCTTATGGTGTATGGGGACATGCATTCCCTGCCCTATGGGAAAAGATACTCTTCCTCTGCAGCGGGGCTAGCTCTGCTCAGTCCCCGAGTGGGAGCTGAGCCATGGAAAAGGGGCACAGGCCCCAGGAGTGAGCGCAGGGGCCCCTGTGCCTGGCAGCCCCCAGGCCTCCAGCCTCCGAGCCTGAAGCAACAGCAGGTAAAGGCAGCTGCCGAGGGCAGGAGCTGTGAGGGGGTCTCGCTCCCTGTACAGAAGCAGACAGCGGGTGCAGAGGTTTCAGGTGCTGCCCTGGGTCTTACGGCTGCATGGTTTAATCCTGCCCCAGCTTGGACATGTGCCCTGTCCTCGTCTCACCTGCCGGCCTCTGCCTGGCAGCCGTGCACAGCCCTCCGCAATGCAGCGCCGCAGCAGGACCCCAAACCCCTCAGCTGGCTGCACAGAGCAAGTCGAGGGCTGGCACTGCCCAGGCTCCCAGACCAGGGCAGGGCTTCAGCCAGGAAATCTGGGGTCTCATCCCCACTCCGGCACCATGACGGGCCCATGAGCGTGCCTCTGGCCCTTGGGCACCCTGGATGCTCCTGCAGCATCTGCTGGGACTGGACCCAGGGATGGGGCAGTAAGCACAGGGCATGGCCCATCCATGTGCCCCCCCGCACTGGCGCTGTTACCCCGTAGCCATCGTCAGGGGACGAGACGAGCCTGGCAAGCAGGAGCTGCAGGCCTGGGAGCCCTGCGGAGCCTTTCACATTTAAATGGCCCGGGGCTGGGAAGGAAGGAAGGAGCCGAGAGCCATAGCAACCTGCAACACACAGCTCCTGAGCTGGCCAAGCCCGGCCCCAGCCCCTCGCCTTGCACGGGGCCTGGAGCCGGGCGACGCGGAGGGGACCCAGAGCCACAGGGATGGCGGCCCCTCCGCTCGCCTGCCTCTGTGAGCTCTGTGACTGCGGGTAGGTGGGCGCCGGGCCCTGCCAGCCCGTGCGGGCACATGCCGCTCAGCGCGGGTTGGATCAGGCCGTCGCCAGGGAAAACCTGCCTGGCTCACGGGCCAGAGAGCGGATGCCTCCGGGGTCCCCCCAGCAGCGCCCAGCCCAGGAGCAAAGCCTGCTGCCTTGGTTACCCCCCTCGGCCCCTCAATTTATTCCCCTCCCTCCCATCCCAGGGGGTGGCTTGCTGTGTGCCAGCAGAGCCAAGGGCTTGGGGAGCACATGGAGGTTGACTCCCCTTCTCACGGAGAAGCCGGTGGCATCTCAGGGTGGCAGAGCCAGCTACAGCTGTGCTGGGACACACCAGCGCCCATGCCTGGCCGATACGGAGCCTCCCTCTGGAGCCTCATTGTGCCCGTCTCTCCGCGCAGCCGACACAAGCGCCACAAGAACTGCCGGAAGCAGGGCCAGCCGGCAGCCGGGGTGCAGGAAGGGGCCCTGCTGTCCCATTACCAGGCTACGTACACGTACCTGCCAGGTGAGCAGGGCTCCAGGGCTGCCTTTGGTGCCGCCAGCCTGCCCACCCTGACCCCGTGCTGTCCCCCCAGGCATCCCCCGGTGCAGCAGCAAGAGGCTGCTGCACACCCCCCTGCACCCCAACCCCCCAGGCAAGGCCCTCAGCACCACCCAGCGAGCAGAGTTCGTACCCCCAGTGCCAGGCAAGAGGACCAAGCCCTGTGTGCAGGTAAGGCAGGGGCTGGCAGGAGCCCCGGGATGCAGCGGGGCACGGCTCCGAGCCTCTGGGGCTGTCCCCTGGGCTCAGGGAATGGAAGGGGCAGGGCCCCAGGGTGGCACTGAGCAGTGGGCAGCACGTGAGGGAATCCACCCAGGAGCAGCTGGATGAACCCCCACAGCATCCCAAGCCCACAGGCGATGCTTGGAAAGCTGGTCTTCTGCAGGAGCCGTGCCGGTCCCCGCGAGAGCCCTTCCGAAGGCAGACGCTCTACAGCCACCACTTCCCGCCCCAGGCGCCGGCGGTGATAGCCCTCCAGCAGCCCCCGAGCCAGATGCAGCACACGGCGGCCCCCTTTGCCCAACCCAGCACCACTGCGCAGGACTGCTTCGGAGGCCGACGGGGGCAGTGGCCAACTCGCTACGGGGAGCTGCCGGCACTGACAGGTATCTGCACCCTGGGCATGGCCTCCACGCTTGTGCCACGGGGCTGGAGCCATCAGGCAGGTGAAGCTCACGCCAGGGCCCCGTTTCCTCCTGACCCCTGACTGGGCTGCGGCGCAGGAGACCACCACCCCACGGGAGTTTCTCGCCAAGCCTGGCTCCAAGCCCACGCGCAGCAAGGGTCTGCAGGCACACCTGGCCCTCGAAGGTGATGGGCAGCAGTGACTCATGGGGCTTTCTCCCCTGGTCCTGCTGCTCCCAGGTGACAGGGCTGGGCACGGTGCATAGGCCTGCGCCATCCTCTCCATCCCATGGAGCAGGCAACTTTGCTGAGCCCAAAAAGGGCTGCCAGGGGGTTCGATCCCTTGTCTCTCCCCATTGCCAAACCGCTGCCAAACCCCAGCGTCACCACAACCACTGCAGCTCCCAGGTGGAGCTCCCCACCTGGCTGCCCCCAGGGGCCTGTCTAAGAGCTGGAGACCTCCTGTGCACTGTGTAACCCCAGTGCTGGCTTGGGACCCTATCACAAGTGGTAGCAAAGGGGCCAAGCCCTGCCGAGCACAGGCCCCAGGCCTTGCTCCCACCTCCCCAGGTCAGCTTTCTGCTTCCCCAGGTGCTCACAACATGACGACTACCCATGGGTCCACCTACTGCCCGGTGCCCTTGGAGAGGAGGGGGGCACGGGCCCCCGCAAAGGGGGCAGAGGCTGCAGGGCAGCCGGCCCAGGTGGAGTACATGACCTGGTACCAGAGCGACTTCCCAGCACGCGCTTCCCTGCCTGCCCGAGCCCTGCTTACCCAGCCCGCTCCGGACAACCTGGCCATCAACCAGAGCCTCGGGTGAGCGGGGCGGGCAGGTGGGCCCAGGGGCCTTCGAGGAGCTGCGGGGGAGGGACACCAGCACGGGGAGGAAGGAGCCTCCTCGCAGACCCAGGTGCCAGTCTAGGCAGGGGGAAGGAAGCATCACTTCACTCTTGGAGCCCACGTGGCAAAGGGCTTTAAGACCTGCAGGTGGATGGGGCCGGAGACAGGCAGGCTGCCCCCATCAGGCTGCCCCCACCCAGGATGACGGCACACCTAGGCTGCCCAGTGGGTCAAAGCCCCAGGACAGCCCAGAGACTTGACTCCTATCTCTGCAGCTTATATGCGGCCTTCTCCCCCCAGCACCAGCTTCCAAACAGTGCAGAGGGAAAGCTACCGTGGCTGGGACCCTGGCAGGTACCCTCGCGCCGGCCTCATCAGGCTGAAGGATCAGCTGGGGAGAGAGCGGGGTGGAGAATTCAGTGGAGACACAGTGACTAAGGTGAGCGCAGGGGGCAAAGGGCGGCTCCGGCGGGCAGCGAGGGGCTCCCTGGGGAAGGTGAATTGCCATTGCTGTCTTCTCACGGCAGGAGGGCAACGCACTGGGATAGTGGAGTCCAGGACCTCCACAGTTAATGCCCAGCTCTTACACTGACTTGTTCTGGGACCTTGGGCAAGTCTCCTCCACTCTCTGAGCCCCCCCATCACTGGGGCAGCCCCCCTGCCACGTGGGCTCAGAGGCTTTGCAAGCTGCTGAAGGGTTTCTCCATGGGTGCTGCACAGCGGTGGGCTCTGGCCCCTCCATCAGGCTTCATGGCCTTTTCTTAGGAGCCCTTCTTGTCTCTTCCCAGCTGTCCTACCCACCTCTGCCACTGGACAGGCCCTCTGGGACCGTCCAGCGACCCACCACGGTGCTGAAGTCCCTCGCAGCCAAATTCAGCCATTCCACAGCCCACAAGTTCTTCTTCAGAGACTGGGGAGCACAGCCCCGAATCCGGCACGGTGACCCCCACGATGGCATCTACGTCCGGCCGCTGGTAACGGGCCTGGTGCAGGGTGGTGCCTGCTGTCACACTATGATAATCACTAGTGCCTTCCCTCTCCTCCTTCCCATGCAACAACCTTGCTGCGCAGTGGGTAGGACGTGGGTGGGTTGCCCTTGGCAAGGGAGCAGGCGGCATTCCCCAGCCTGCAGTTAGCTCACGTTTACTCGGTAAGGTGCAGGGGACACGTCAGAATAGTCCCTGCATGTCTCCCGCTCACTCCACTCTGTGACGCTTGATTTCTAGGCCAAGTTCGAATGCCAAACCACCACACACAGCACCTACCTGCCCAAGAGAGCAGAGAAAGCAAAGAGCTGCAAACCCGAGCAGCAGGCCATGGAGGCACAGGGAGAGCAGGACTTCTCCACCACCCACAGGGACTCGTACAGGTGCTGCTCTGGGCTGTGCAGGAGGTCGAAGGGGGCAGGCAGTGCTCTAACATAGGCGTGCACCGAGATAACGGGGTTTGCGCCCTTTCTTTCAGGCTGCTGCCGCTCCCAGTTTGTCGTCTGCAAATGTACCTGATTCAGCAACAGCAGAAGGCAGGAGAAGAGGTGAATTCTCTTGCACCTGTTGAAGCCTAGAGGCGGGACGGCAGGGCGGTACCTGAGACTGTCTGGCTTAGGAAGGAGTGAGCTGTTGCAGGCAGAAGCCTCCTTCATCAGATGCAAGGAACAAGACTAGAATCGGATGAAGGAGGCTGCTGCCTATGAAAACTCATGCCTTGTGAGCCACTCGGTCCCCAAGCTGCTGCCCTGCCTCCTGCCAATTAAAGCCTGAGATGGACTGTGGACCTCCTGGCAAAGCAGCTCTATCCATGAGGGGGACGATTTGGCAGGAAAGGATGGGTTTTTTAGTGTATCTTAACAATATTAAAATTGCCTCATCTAAGATGTGAGAGACAGACACTGCTACAAGTGGCGGCTGCTTTGCATGCACATTAAAGAGCACCTTAAAAAGAAAATACATGAAAGTAAAAACACAGTAGTTTTATGGTACAAATTCCACATCATAATGAACTTGGGTGTACAAACAACGTGCCTTTGCTAGTGCCTAAAATTTTAACGTTTAAAATAAGTTGCAAAAAAATAAGCTAATGCAGCGTACAGGTATCAGACAACTCATGCTTAGCAGTGGTGTTGGAATGGTCCTGAGAAAACTACGGTGCTCTCCAACCAAGGGGCAGCAGTTTTCTACAAGGCTGCAGTAAGAGGAATGCAGTAGTGCAGTACTGTGGAACGGAGAAAGTGGGTGACAAAAACACGAGGGTATTCACCTAGATCTTCAGAGGGCAGCAGCCGGCAGCTTGCATCCATTCAAAACTCTGAAGGCGTTTCCAACTCTCACATTATGGGCGGAAGTGTCGATGGGTATCGCATCTTTCCCCAGGCCAGTACGCACTGTAGGCATGCATTTGCACCAGAGCATCTGTGGTATAACCAGGCCCTTCCTTGTGCTGCTTCTCCCTCCTGTCGCCAGAACAACCGTGCCTAGTGCAAGGCCTCTGGAGGGTGCAATCACCTTGGACTCCAGAAGTGGGTGAAGGCAGTGGAGAACACAACAGGAAGATTGCGTTCAGCGTGCGTGAGTGTGATGCTGGAAACGCTTCTGTTAGCTTTAGCAACTGTTATGGCCTTGGCGTGAGAGACTCCATCTCCCGATCACTTTCCTTGATCCACGGGCTACAACAGGGCCCCATGACTGCACTCTTACCTGCCCTTCCACATGCTGCTCAGGCTCAGAGTCACCAAGCTTAATTACTCAGGCAAAACCACTGTTCCCCCAGGAGCTCGGCGCCCTCCTGGCCTCAGCCACTGGCCGCCTAAACGCTCAGCAGCTTATGCGCAGCAAGGTGGGGTGCGCATCTGCCTCTCAGCACACGACGAGGCTGAAATGCTGTTCCCCGGTGGCTGCAGGAGACTGTCACAGCAGCTGGGGTCCAGCAAGTGCCTGCTTGCAGCCCGGGCGAGTTCCAGCAGACTTTGAAAGGTGTTAGTGAAGCACAATTTGTTCAGCTGCACTAATTGCAGACTCTGCAATGGCAGCAGATGCTAGAAAAATCAGGTCCAAGCCTTCCTCCAGCTGCCTGCAGCTTGGCTATTTTTCACCCATTTTCTCTTGTGGATTTAAAAAAAAAAAAAAAGAAGAAGAAGAAACCCTGCACTGCACAAACATATTAATAAACAACAGTTGTGCTGAGCCGCAGACAGGCTCCGAGCCATCAGCTCAATGCAGGAAATAAAAAAGGGGCTGCACCACCTCGCAGAGGGGAGATGCCCAAGGTTCATACATTTCCTATGAAAATATCTGTGGTACCGTCTCCCCCCACTGCCTCTCCAGGCCCAGCACACAGAAGGGCCAAAGCCCAATTCACATCACCAGGCCCAAGCTCCCATCAAGCAGGCAGCTTCCATGAAAACAGCTGGCTGCATTCAACACGTTTTCTCTGCAGTGTAAGCAAAGAGGGACTCTGACGACCAGAGGTGCTCTCTCTCCAGACGGGAACAGGCCAACTGTTTCTGCACGAGCCGTAGCTCAGAGTCTTGGCCTGGTTTGTTTAAGAGGTCTGCTCTGGTACAATTACATTTCTGGTCTCAGCTGACAGATGGCTGGGCTGAGACATGGCAGCTGAGCAACTGCCAAGCCTGTCTAAAGGAATCAAGGATGCTCTCCTGGAACCACGCCCCCGCTCCCTGCCATCAGATCCCAAAAGAAAACAACACCGGGCTGAAATCATTTAAACCCCCCCATTTACTTGCATCTTCTCACTAATAAGTAGCCTTAGACTGGCTGCGGGAGCTTCTGCATGGGGGGGCTTTGCTGCGTCAGATACAACAATACCATTTTCCACCCATACCCCTTCCTCCAGACAGTGACCACCAGTCCCTGGAGACCCCCTGCTCTAACTGGAGCAGCAGTTGCTGGTGAACATTTAGCTGCCTATCACTGCTCAGATGAGAACTAGGAGAAACGTCTGCGTTATAAATGTTCCCTACAAGGCAGAGAAGCCACCTGAACTTATCGAAAACACAGCTATTTTTGGCTTTGTCACCACTGATACCAGATAGATCTGCCAGAGGCAAGTCAGCCAGTGGTGAAGGCCTCGCTGTCATCACTACCTGCAAATACTTGCTGGCGTTGCATGGACATCTCACTCATAGTCCTAGTGCATAAAAGAATTCTGCCCCTACAAACGAGTTTTTCTTAACCCTCCCCTCTCCCCATAACAGGCCCTGAGATTTGGGACAGCAGAAGAATCAGGGATCTGTGGAACAAACCCTGGGGGAAAAAGTATTTGGCTGAAAATAGACTTAAATACAGACTTTATATCAACTGGTAAAAAAGATGGAGTCAGGCCAGAAATCATTGTCTCTACCTGGTGCAGCAGGTTCCTAGAGAGCAGAAGCGCTCCTGGGTGCTGTATTTTCCTAGGACAGCAAGTCTTCTGGTTGCTCATGGTATAGCTGCAGTTCTTCTCTGAACCCCAGGAACCTTTTCTTCTCTTTACCCGAGTGGAGAGAGAAACCCCATTTCCGTTGTGTTCCAGGAGCACCGTAAGCTCTCCTTGAAAACCAGCTGTGACCCCCAAAGACAGTTCAGTTCAACACTGAGGGCTAGGGGCAGCAGGGAAGAATGAGCCATCTCGTATAGCTGTGGCAGTGGCCCTAGGTGTACAGAGGTCTCGCTGCCACCTGGAAAACAAGTCAAGAGCTCCATCCCCTATCCCATTTAGCTTTACATGTCCTCAACGCTCCACTTGTAGGCGAGCTCCTGGACGGCCTTCTTGCTGGCTAGTCTAGCAAAGCGCTTCTGTTCAAATCCATTGGACCTGTAAAACAACACCCAGAAGAGCACATGTGGGTGTGCAGTCTGCTTCATCAAGTCATTTCTAAGCGTATGAAACTTTCTGGTGAGGCCAGATGACTCGGACGCCCTGCTCCTGATCCCTACCCTGGAGTTCCTGCCGGTCCAGCCCGGATCTGCAGCTAACACAGCTGGTGCCATCTGGTGGCAGCACAGCGGCCTGGCAGCACAAAAGCCAGAGTGGCAGCCTGCACTGCTCTGGCCCAGGCCCTTCCCAGGTGCCTAGTGACCAACACAAACTGCACGTTACAGATTTCCCCCCACCTGAAGATTCACAAGTTCATCAAGTTGCACAAGAGCCAGAAGCCTCACGGCACGCAGGGCACCGCATCAGGTATCTCCCATGCCTTCCTCTGGCTTATCACAGGGATAGAGGACTGGAAGGGACCCCAGATCAGCAAGCCCAACACCCTGCTACTGCGACACCTCTGCACATGGCCCTACCCTTTAAACTTATTGAGCTCCTTCTTCAGACCAGCTAGACCTTGGGAGAGTTAGGGACTTCTAGACAGCAAGCTCTACAGGGCAGAGCCTCGGTTACTACTTCTGCTGCTGTGCTGGGCACTACTCAAACAGCTCCAGAAAAGCTTACCTGTCCACCCCGTCCCAGCGATGGCCAGGCCATATATTAAACCTGTTGAGCGGAGGTGCTGGTCCACTGTACCTGGGTTTCTCTAGATAAAAAGAACAACAGAACCAGTTACTGTTTTAGCCCAATGAGTTATAGTCAGAAGCACTCAGAAGTGTCTACATCAGTACACGTCAACTGAAGGCAGAGCTAGAGAGACTGCTAAACAGCTCTCCCTCATTTGTGGAAGGAGCTTCCAGACACACATGCACTTCAGCTCTGTGGATTTCTACGTGCACTCAACCAGAAGGAAAGGTGGAGAACCCAACACAGCTGGTGCGCGTCCACTTGAGGCACCGCTGTCTCTAAGCCAGCCAGGAACAGTACCCACCAGGCACCAGACTGCCCGTTACAGGGAGTCTGTGCTACGTACTGACCGGTCAGTGCACCACTGGAAGCTCTAAACCCACTAAATGCATCTCAGCACCCCAACCTTTCTTGTCCTTGCTCTCTTTTGTCTTCCTCTTTTTTATGAAGTTGGCCATGGGGTCTCCTTCTCTTTCCTGCTCCCGCAACATCTGATCCAATTCCTGGTCATCAATATAACGAGCTAGGGGCTTCTGCATCTCCTTAATTGCATCCTCCACATTCTGCTGCTGCTGTTTGCTCTGAGCCAGGCTGGAAAAGAAACACACAAAGCCTCACATTACAAAGCAGTCAGGAGTCACCAGACACGGCTTGCCGCTTCCTCAGCACGGCTGACAGAGGGCAAAGCAGCCTCTCACGATCCACACCTCAGTGGGGTGTGGGAAGCTTGAAGGGATCTGCAAGAGGATGTGGAACATCTGGTAATCAGAACCATACTGCCCTTCTGTGCAGGGTCTATGGTCACTAAGAAGCCTCAAGTGGACACAACTGTATCACGCACACATGCACTACAGCACAGGGACAAGAGACACGCACTCACCCTTTGCCCCACTTGGCATATTGCTCGTCTTTCCTAGCCTTCTCCTCCGCTTTCTTCTGCTGCTCAAGTCGCTCTTGGGTGAGGTCTCTCTTGCGGCCTGACTTGTCTCGGAAGACAGTTTCTGCATTCTGAGATTCATCTGAGGGCATCAGAATTTCAGGGTTACTCACTGTGGACTAACTCCAGAACCTCAGCAACTGCCTGACATTCGGTACTGAAATGCACCTCAACCCTGCTCACTGCTGTAAGCATGCCCGCCTCACAGACATCCCCAGGCAATGACACAGCGGACGCCCCAGCTTCAGCACTCAGGCTGTGGTTGTTGCTTGATCCCTCTGGCCTCAGTCCAGCCCTGCCTGTTGAAGATCTAATGAACCCATCATAGCCCACTGCAGAGGCAAGTCCCAGCTGCTTCTCCCTTCTGTGTTCCTTCATGGGGACGGTCCTTGGGACCCCACCGTTGATTCTTCTTTTACTTCACAAACCCTGCACCTCCACTCTCAAGGGCTCTTCAGAACGTCTAGGTGCCCCCCAGGCCCAACCACACCCCACCAGGACGAGGACTGAAGCAGCATTAAGAATCACTCTGCCAACAAAAAGGAGGCTGAGGCTGGCAGCCTCCACACCCTTTACCTTCCAAGTGCTTGTTACTTCTATCCCGTCTCCTGAGCTCCTGCTGTTCTTGCCGCAGCAGGTCGGCCGACACCAACCCAGCTTTTCCCCCAGACAGCATCTGACTAGCCTGCAAAGCAAAAAAGGATCCTCCTGAGTTACACGGGCTGCCAGCTGCTGGCTAGTGAAACAAGCTGGTGCTCTCAGAGCAGTTCTTAGGAGAAACGGTCATCCCATTGGCACAAAGTTGCTCCACTGCGCCCAGTCTGAGCAGCATGAGAGACCAAGTGGGCCAAGACAACAGAGCTCTCCTCTCCTCTCCCTGCCCTGGAGCTATGCTCATTGCTAGCCAGGGGTGAGGCACGCTGGCAGGGCAGCCTGGCAAGCCTGTATTTTGCAAGCTGGATACTACTGGATTTCTCAAGTTTCCACACCAGCCACCACATGAGTTTTGCAACCCAGAAGCCAAAGCCTACATCCTTACTCTCTGGCCTTCTCTTCTCTCTCTCTGGGGAGATCCTTTACAGTCCTGTCCTCGAAGAGGTGGTGAGAGGTCAGAAGGGCTCCTTGAACTGCGGTGTTTCTTCCCAGAGGCCTGACTCCTTCGGGGAGGAGATAAATCAGAATCTGAAGACTTGTCCCGAAGCCTTTTGGAAGGAGCAAGACCAGGAGGGGAGTCACGATGCAAGTGGCCTGGCCTGGGATTTCTCCGCGGTGGGGAAAGGTCTGAATCAGAGTTCTGGGCACTCTTCCGTGGTGGCGAAATGTCCAACTCATGTCTCTGGCGCCTGTTGGAAGACGATGCCTGCTGGGACTTTTTACTGCCTGGAGAAGAACCTGTAACAGTAGAGGGAGACTGAATTATAATCCAAGGAAAACAAACTCAGGGGCCACGTAAAAGGCTAAAAAGCTGGTTCACAAGGCCCCCACTACAAAGTTGAATCAACCCGCTTGAAAACCAGACCAAGGCAAATCAAACATGCAGATGGTTACAGGGGCACAGCAGTGGCTGAGCCCTGGACATTTCCCTTCTTATCAAACCACAGGCTCAGCACGCAGGGACAGCTGGGGATTCAGAAAGTTCCTTTGTTAGATAAACACAAACACTGCTAAGTACCCATCCTCTTCCAGTGAACAAGGGCAACACGACAATGCCAGTTGTGTCTACTTCCCACCAGTGCAAGGTATCAGTAAAGCCCCAGCTTTGCCATCAGGACAAAGGGGGTATCTTCAATCTGGGTGGCTGACAGCCACAGCAACAAGCACAGAGCAGCATATTTGCTGGCGGAGATAAGCCTCATGCTCCTCCTTTCCCAGAAAACACAGCACCACTGGTCTCACCTGAGCTGGGATATGAAAGCAGGCAAGTTAACATATTCAAAAGACACTTTTTCCCTAATAAAAGGCAGGGCCTAAGAGAAGACGAAAAAAGCAAGAGAAGCAGGGCAAGCATGTTTTAACCCTCCTCCTTCTGCAGGGATTTTTTTTTCCTTACGCATGAAATAGCCTTTTCCACAGCAGCCCTGTCCAGTGACTGCTGTTATGATCTTTAGCCCTTTGCTCAATCTGATGAGCAGAACGGGACTGTGAGAACCAGCCTCACTGTTCAAAGCGCTGGAGTAGAGGGCATTTTTGTTCCTACTGTTAGGCAAGCAAATGCTCTACCACCTGTAACCTACCAGGAGTGTGAAAATGGATCCAAATCCTGTCCCCCTTGCAGGTACAGGGAAGCGCAATCACACAGCAGTGCCTTTAAATACCAGCCTGACAGCAACCTCCTGCTCTAAAGCCAAGGAAACAGCACAGCATCTCATGCACTTGCCACACTCGCCTCTTGTGCTGCTTGGCCTTTTGGGGCCGCTTGGGGACCCAGGCCTCTTCCTCTGGGGCGGTGATGTTTCTAGCTCAGACTTGTGTCGGTTCTTCCTAGGAGGTGAGAGATCTGGTGTAGCCTGGCGCCTCTGGCTCGAGGACAACTTCTCCAGGAAGCCGGTTTTCGAAACAGACTGTCCTCCTGGCAAGGACCCATCTGCAACTCTGCTGCCTTTTCTACCAGACGCTGAATGAGCTCTCTTGGGAGAGTCGTGGCGGCCCCGGCGCGGCGGCGATGGGTCGGG